TTTATAGCCACAAGGAGGGAGCCAGGAGTACATGAGAGAGCTACACGTGGAGCCTTAGCGAGAAAGGAAGATCCAGTACTGTGGCCTATTCCTGTAGCAACACAGTGTCGGGAATGGCAATTGGTACTTGATCACCGGTGCGTCACGCATGCCATGCTCGAGGCTGTTGAAGTCGTAAGAGTCCTTGTTGACGTCTAGTCAGTATGGCCTCCACTGTAGGTGACATGCCATGCCTGGTGGACTCTTGTCCTGGTGGAGTGCCGAGGCCTAGCGGGTGCTGGAGCTGATCGTGCCGAGGCCTTCTTTGCCGAGGCCTCGGAGGTGACCTGTGTACGACGCAGGGGTCTCGATGGTCTGTGTCGTACCCGATTCCGGTGAAAAAGTGCGGAATGGGCGTCCGCAAGGAGCCGTAGTCTCTGCACCGTCAATAGGGGATGGTAAAAAGGTGATTTGACCGCCATCCCATCGCCCTTTTTGCCATACCCTGCCAATCGTGGCTGACGTAGGTGTAACTAGGGATATTTACACGGATGGGACGGCCCGCCAGAGGGGCAATTGAGGCGGAGGCGACGAGAATGCGGGACAAGCCCGGCCTCGGCCGACGCGGAGAAGGAATGGCGCGTCCGAGGCCTTGCCGGGGGGTCTCGGACGAGGCAGAGACCGAGCAGCTGGGCTCTCCTGCTGTTTTCGAGGCTACAGGGACATGGACTCGACCTTCCATGCCGCTTTGTCCTTGGCGCAGGGGTTAGGTAGCACAGGGCAGTATAAGTGTCAGGAGGGAGCACAGTGGTGAGTATAGTGGCAGGTAACCCCTGCTGTGCCCGGTCCCTGTCCTGTCAGTTGTTCTGCCCGCACTGTACCTGCGTGCGGCTAACGTTTGCGGGAGTGGTTGGGTGCATTTAATCCGGACGTGACGTTTTGCCAGAGGAGTTCGGTCGGGACGGAGGTTACGAGTACGTCCACCAAGCCCGGCCTCGAGCGAATCGGAGAATTGGAGATCCATCCGAGGCCTTTCGGGGCGAGGCTTTGGCGAGAGGGTCTCGGCGAGAGGGCCTCGGCGGGACGTTTTAGGCCTGTTTCGCATGAGGCCTCGGCGCAAGGCCTCGGGCGAATCGGAGAATTCTGCCGAGACCTTGCAGTAGTCTTTTGGCTTTGGTTTTAGCAAGGCTTAAGCAATATTCTTGGATCTTGCTTAGGGTACCCCTTCTTGTGGTATCCGACACCATGGTTTAGCCATTGTCTAAAATAGAACATTCTCCAAAAGAGTAGAGTAATGCAGCAACCTTTCTAAATTTCTCATTGTCTATTTTTAAAATCTGACATGTCATGTTGAGATTGGTTCGCTTCTCTATTTCCTGTACTCCAACCATTTGCTAGTAGCACACCACCATGCAGATGGCGAGCCTTCACGGCTTGCTATTTTTACCTAGCGAGAAGTGTGGAATGGATGACTTGTTATTTTGGAAAACATGATAGAATAGCTGTTGGAGCCGTGATTCTTCCAAAAATACCTAAAATAGGATTTTCACAACTCAAATGGCTACTCTCTTGGAGTTGCTCTTAGAAGTGTACCCAATGGGGGTTATATATACTCCTATATCCATGCTCTGTTCATGCAACAACCATGCCATGAAAATATCCGCATGAAAAATGATACACTTGTAAGCAACCCGGACGACAACATCTTGAATAATAGCGGACCTAGGATTTCAACTCAGGATATGCCTAACAAACATATCTTGTATTTACTATGCTATAATCCAATACATAATTTGAACCCAGAGAGGGCCAAGCACAAGCAGCGAGCATCAGCCAAGCGGAGGGACAATCTGGAGACAAAAGTACTTAAACGATGTTTGACTTTTTTTAGTTTAGACCTTCAAAATTTAACAGTACTAATAATTTGGCCAAAATCTAGGGTAGACCTGAGCCTATATATGGTCTAAGGCTGGTTCCGCCCCTGATCTTGAAGATACTGATGTTTATGAACTTTTTGAGAAAGTATATATGGCCCCCTCAATAGTATGACTTAGTTACTAGCTATAAGACAATTTATCCGATAGTACTAACTTTTTACACATAGCTCATAATATAAATAATCGCATACGACACTCTTACATAATCTTAGAATATATGCACATAAGACTAGTTTTTGATAAAAAGATATTTTTTCTCTCTCTTCTATTAAAATACAAAATAATATAATTGGAGCTGCCCATAGAGCGAAAGGCGCACGACCAGAAGCAAGCAGCGCGCGGGTAGCAAGATTAATTCCTCCTTTTTGCAGGTTCACAACAGTTGCAACAATTTTACCCTTGAAATGTGATTTAGTTTCACCTTAATTTGTCATGTGGGGTTAATACACATAACTCCTAGCATAAACATGGGCCTTGGGCTTTCGACTTAACTGGATCGGAGGAAATCTGTGGAACAAGTCCAATTAACCCAACAAGACGTACTCACTTGACCTTGCCAATTGAGATTGAACAGATAGATCTAAGATTGATGAAGGCATAGTAGCCGCCTTACCTACCAATGAAAGAATAATGTAGTTAAATACTAGAATAAATCTAAAAAAAATACGATCCCCGTGCCAGAGCGGACAGATTCAACCATAAAAAACCCAACCAACTAAACTACGCCCAGTTCACACTTGAAGTTATGTATTAGTGTCCACTATGATCATCCAAGCTACGGCACGTATGTAATATGCCATCTGAATTTTTTTAAATAATATTTTTAATGAATAATTATAAATCTAGAAGCTGTTATAAAAAAATCGCACATATAGCATCCTTACGGCCGTCCAATGGCCAGGACATCTGTCGACCGCTCTGTAGCCGACAGGCCTACGTGGCGGCGACGTGGCAGCTGACGCCCCCCAGGACAACCTGTCGGTGCCGATAGCATCTTTGTCGGCAGCTGGATGCCCGACAGGCCCAGTTAGCTCCTGGGCTGCCGACAGGCCAGTCGGCTATCGAGCTGCCGACACGCCCGTCGGCCCCTGTGCAGCCGACTACTCTATTTTATGTTGTATCCCTTCTTTTCCACACAACCATCACCCGATTTGCTCCTCATTTACGGACACAACCATCACCCGACGGAAAACTAACTTTAGCACTATTGAAGCAACACTAAAAACATTTGTTGTCCTTTTCCGGAGATAATCATCACCCAACCATAACTTGAGTACTATAAGGAACAATATAACTTTTGAAGGGACAAATACATTCGAATATTAACAAAGCGAGCTACATGGACGAAACCTACAATAATAAATGGCATATGTGGAACTCTAGTTAACTAAGATAAATAGTCCCACCACTAATCTAACATGCCTTAGGGGAATTTTAAAGAAAAAGCACGACTTGCAATAGCATGTTCAGAGCTCCACCATTAGTACTAACATGCCTTAGGGAATATAACTTGCTGGGCCTATTACATTTTCTCTACTTGGTGTAGCATGGTTGTCAGTGGCGTAGCCAGGATTTGTAGCTATGGTGGTCCATTGTCTAATTTTTTTTAACCGCTATAAACTTAACATGTTGGTAGACGAAGCACATGAATTGCAAAACACAACTAAAGAAAAAGAGGACATACAGAGTTCATATTACATGCCCGTAATAGTTGAAGAACAATACGGCACTTCTTGTTAGGCCTGCGCCTTCCAATAGCCATGAAAGTGTGGATGATCTCCATCACTCAATTGTAAGAAGATATCCCGCTCAATAAAAGTCACTAGACAATCATCTAGGAGGCTATCACCCATCTTAATTATTTTTTGAAGAAGAGAGGCAATATCACTTTGAAGAAGAGAGGCAATATCACCGCTCGTCTTCATATTTCAGTAAGTCTGCAAGAGAATAAAATATTGTTTCAATTTACCATTCCAATAATCAATTGACAGAAAACCCTATTCTATAATTAAAATTAAATAGTCCAATGTCACCGTGCACTCCAATAATGTAATCTAATGACACAGAATAAAATAAGGTTTTCTGCACGAGTTATGGTGTTCTGTGTTATGCATTCAGCGTTCCTTCAGACTGGGAGGAAAAACAAACAAACTTGACTAAACGAGCAGGCTAATTGAAAACCGGAGACGTACCTGCATTCCCATCTGCTGTCGCTCACAGCCACTGGTCGCTTGTCGTCCGGCGCCTGCCGCCGGCCCGCCACCGCCGCACGTCCGAAGGGATACGAAGACCGGCCGTATTCGCGATGGGTCGCACGACGGGTATTGGCGAAAGGCCGTAGACGCTCCGATGTATTCGATGTTTGGCTGCTCAGGATCCAAACTTCCTGTACCTATGGGCTTTGTATGGGCCGAGCGCATGGTGGTCCGTGGACCACCTGGACCACCCTATAGCTCCGCCTCTTATGGTTGTTTTCCCTTTCTCTCACGCCCTGAACTTTGTTTTTATGATGGTTGCCATTCATTGGGTTGAAATCCAAAGCCCCCCCTCTTCCTCTGAGGCTCCGACCGTGGTTCTGCAGTGCTAACTGCATAATTAGGCACCAAGGTCTAAGACAGATGAATGAAGGAGGTCCATGGATGAAATGTCGACGATGGTCAGTTCAAAGTTCAGGTCTGGAAGAAGAAGGGTAAAATATCCGAATATGGTATACACAAACTCGACGATGAATAAAATCAAAATATTCGAATCTTCCCAGCAAAATAGTGTCTTGATCGATGCAGTAATATAAAATCCTGCAACATCCATACAGAGTCTCATAAATATATATAGGACCATATATGCATGCATGCACGAGTGTACGAGACAATCACTAAACATCAAAACATGACTGACACGTGGACACAATTCGACTAAGCTGCCGACACGTGGTATCAATCCTACTACACAAGTACACAGTACATGCACTGGAGCACACATTTGACGCGAGGAAAACACTGGGCAAGCTGCATGCACACAACAATACACATGCACGAACCTTGATGCGATCTTACAGTTACATGGCACATGCATGCACCGAGCTAGCTAATCAAGCAACCGCGCCTCGCAACTGTGCAGGAACCGGCTGACGAGGCCGATCAGCTCGCCGGTGGCCTCGGACCCCGGCTCGTGCAGGTAGAACCCGTGGGGCTTGCCGGCGAACTCGACGAGCTCCACGGGCTTGCCCATCGCCGCCAGCCGCTCGGCGTAGTCGACGGTGCGGTCGCGCATCATGTCGAGGCCACCGACCACCACCAGGACCGGCGCCCGGAAGTCCACCGAGCCCAGCTCGGGGCTGTCCGGCCCGAACGGGTTCGCTGCCGGGTGGTCCCTGGTGGCGCCGGCCGGCAGCGACAGCCGCCAGAACCGGTCGAACAGGTCCAGGTTCAGTAGCACCTCCGCGGGGCACTCGGCCTCCGACCGCGTCCGCCGGACGCCGCCGAAGAACGGCATCAGGAGGACGTAGCCTCGCACCGTGACCGGGCGGAGGTCGAGATCGACCTCGCCGCGCTTGGTGGCGGCCAGGCCGGCGCGCACGGCGAGGTGGTGCGCTATGGTGCCGCCCGCCGAGTCGCCCGTGACGAACACGCGGCCGAAGTCGGCGGCGTCGGTGAGCCAGCCGTCGGCGGCGGCGTCCATGGTGGACTGCGCACTCAGCCAGCGCATGAAACCCACGCCGTCGTCGACCGCCGTGGGGAGGCGGTGCTCCGGGGCGAGGCGGTACCCCGCGGAGAGCACGACGGCGCCGGCCTCCGCGGCGAGGCAGAGGCAGAACGCGTGCACGTTCGCCCACGTGCACGACCCCAGGCAGAAGCCGCCGCCGTGGAAGTGGACCAGCACCGGCAGCTTCTTCCTGGCGTCCTCGCCGCCGCCGGCCGTGGACGACGGCTTGTACATGCGGACGCGGAGGTTGTTGGCCTTGTCGTAGACGGCCTCCTTCCATTGCACCGACGGGTGGCTGCTGGGGAAGGCGTCCGGGCAGAACACGGGTTGCTCCGGTGACCGGAGGACGGTGCCGTCACCGAGGACGCGCAGGAAGCCATAGATGTCCTCGACGACGACGTTGGCCGCCGCTGGAGGTAACACGCCGGTGGCGCCCGAAACTGCGGGCATGGTTGGCATGTCCTTTTAATTTGGGCGTGTAAAGACTAATAAGGACTTGCTCCCTGGAAGACAGTGAAGCTAAGCTGATGATGAGGTTTAGTGTACCGTAAGTCGTCTTATATAGCCATCATCCAAGGGAAAGTAATTCTACATTTTGATATGCATCGACAATGATGTCAGTAAAACGCCACTTTCTTAGCGGCTGCCGGGGAAAAAAAATACTTCTCCAATTTCTAAATAAATCAATTTCTAAAATTATCTTTGGTCAAAAATTCCAAAGTTTGACCAAACACTACTGGAATCTCGCTTTTTTTTTGTGTGTGAAAACACACAGAAAAATGCGAATACCGTCAGAAAAATATTTTTCTGACGGTGTACCCTCAGAAAAATACCCATAGAAATATAATGACAGAAAAATTAAATTTTTCTGTGGGTTTACTGTCAGAAATAATTTTTCTGTGGGTCACACACGCACAGAAAAAATGGTTTTCGCCAGATTAAAACTAATTTTTCTCGTGTGTTAATCCACGTAAAAAAAAAGAAATAAACGCACGAAAAAAACATTTTTTCGCATGGGTCTAGGTGAACTCACAGAAAATTCATTTCGCCCAGATTAAAAAGAATATTTCGTGTAGCCACCTCACAGAAAAAAAGAGTTAAACGCACAAAAAAATTATTTTAAAACAGTGGCAACAGCTTATTAAAATATATATTTTCCATACAGTAATTTATGTGCATGACAACAAGGTTTCATTCAAATAATACACAAATGCAGTACTCGAAGGGACCTTGATGGGTGACCAGACAACCGATCAAGTATCAAGAGTACCAAAACAAGTATCACGCTCGATGTGGCTAGGCGACAAGCAAACTTCAAATGACCGACATCAAAGTTCTAAACCATCACGAGAGGACGACTAGGACACCATGATGAGCTTCACTCATCGTGGCGTGGCTGCCTCCTCCTGCCTCACTTCTTTGAAAGTCTTGCGACGGAAAGGTGGCGATGGTAGGCATGGTCGGCGACACTCCTGCAATGACAAAAGAAGCAAGTGTTAGGACTAAGTTCTCTAGGTTAGGACTAGGTAACTCATAAAATCCAGGAAGGCGAAGAAAAACCTAAGTCAATACCGATCGAAGCTGAGCCTAATGTAGTGTATCCCTGAGAGTATGATGCTGGATAGGACGCCGGAGCTACACCTGCAAGAAAGGCGAGGTTTGAGTCAGAAAAGCGTAATAAGGAAATTTAAGGAGTGAAACGCGCAAGGGACACAACTTGAGCAATAAATAACAAAGGAATACCTAGAGTCGCCGGCTAGAAGATCTGGTAGAGGTGTGCAGCAAGGCTGACCTATGACATCTTTGTTTTGACTACTATTTTTTCTTCATGTTTTTTTTTCTCTAAAACTGCTATGGACTACCTTCCCCTTGATACGGCAAAGGACATGACACATTCATTTGGAAAACAGAGATAGAGACAGGTATACATCTAACAGTTTGTGGTTCTTCTAATTGTCAAGGTCACACACCTCAACTAGTGAAGTGTCGACCCTAGGAACAATTAGGAAATTGTCAAAACAACGTGGAAGCAATTGAACAAAGTACAAATAAAAACTTGAAAACTCAGCTACACAAAGAACCAAAGATTGACAACCAAAGAAAGATTTTGGGAACACCGAATCAAACCGACACAAATGACCTGAAGCAACAATACTGTCTAAAGTTCGGTCACACCAAACAAGTCATTGTCGGATGGGTCATTCATTGAAAAACTGTTGTTCGGTCTCTCCTAGCAGCAAGCACGAGAAAAAGATCACGAAACGAAAGCAGAGATTTCAAATAAAATTTGCCAACTAGTTGCTTTGAAATTATCGGACGGTGACCTTTTCCATGTAAGAAAATTTAATCCACATTTTCAATTGTAAATTGTTGCTGGTGTGTCACGGCCAGTGAAGCCTGCAAATTTCAACTGCAATAGGAAGAAGGATTGGACAGAAAGGAAAATTACTGCAGACTGAAATACAGAGCAAAATAGTAAGTGATGATCAAGAAGGGCATAAAGGTAACTGGAACCTGAACCTGCAATTCAGAGATAACATAAACAAGTGTCAGAAACAATATTTCTCAAGCAAAGCAAGTTTTTTTCATAACAAGATTTAGAGTATGAACACTCAGAGATCATGTACAACTCAAATAGTAAGTGATTTAATTACTAGATCACTAGCCATAGCACAAAAGGTATGTCACAAAGAAAGAGAATAATGGAAGTAGCATTGAAATCTTGACTTGAAAGAAGGGAACAAAATGCTAGTGTTTGCGAATGATTCTCGTGATTTGGGAAGGTTTGGGGTAGTGGAGTTAGAGCTGCTGCAAAGCCAGCAGATCAAGATAATTCATGGAAAGTGCATGCTAAGGTGCAGGACAATCTTACATATCACTTTCACCTTCCTTAAGCATAACAGGGTATGTCTGTTTTTTTATCAACAATGGCATACAAAAAAATAAGGACTAACATCAAGCCAAATAACCAATAGTAGTATATACATTAATAAACACAGGAAAAAAAGTATAATCATATACATAAGAAATTTGGTTCACAATAGATGATTACCTAGGTTATCTTCAGTAATACAAAAAAATGACTTATACTTTGGCTGCTCACTCAATTCTTTATACCGGTATCACAATAAAACAATCTAGACAAATGAGAGAAAAAATTGAAACATGGAGGAAATGATATCTCAGTCATGATTCATCACTTATACCAACCTCATCATCACCCGATTCACCACCTTCTATTGCATGGTTTATATCAATGATGCTTGTATCAAAGACATCTATCATACACTAAGAAAAACACTAAAGACAGCTATGATACAAATCGAGAGCATCCTATTGAAGTCAAATGTTGAGAGAATCACACTTTGAGGTGCTACGCCAATTAGCGATTTCACAAAAAAACATCCAATTTATTGCTAAAAAAAAAAAGGGATTTCAAAGAGGATAGGCATGTAGACACATAAGCATAGTAGTATTGTCAATCTAACATACTCTTGCAAGTGAATAAAATAAGTTTCTAAACAGGCCATTTGACATTGCTAACCACCTTGCAAGTGAATCATACATATTCAAATCAGATTGTTATATGGCAATAAAATAAGCTCATATTTATCAAGTGCAAGCGATGGGTTCTTACTACTGATTTTACAGATTGGGGTCATCAAAAGTTGAGAAATCAAGCGCCAATCTCGGACTCAAAAAAGGTTGGAACAATGTCGAGGCCAATTCAAAATCAGTAAGGTATGCATTACTAAAAGTTCCATTACCTCAACACAAGCTCAAGGTTGGAACATTGGCCTCAGATATCAGTTGCTCCTCGGTTGACCTTGAGCTTGGAGCATAAGAAACAAACAGAGTAAGAAACAAAGTTCCAGTACCTCAACACAAGCTCAAGGTCATCAGTTCTTGGTATGCTTAATATGATATCATCATTGGCAAAGTAAGTGAGGCCTCAGCTTAACGATATGTTGGTACAATTTCCATATACTCAATCATAGGTGGTCGCTAAGGCAAAAAAAAAGAGATAGAAGAAAACTAAGATCATGTCCCATGGTTTGTTTGACAAATCATGAGAATCATACAGAATGCACAAAAAACAAATTGCAGCCACCTCAGAGTTTATTTTTCATGTTGCATCATTGGCCAAATAGATATCAAGAGTTTGAACATCACAGTCATATCAAGAGATTGAACATCAGTGTCATAAATTCTAGATGCTTCAGCACAAAGAACCCTCACTAGAATCAGAGCTATGGACTTAAGCAAGACGCGGCTGCCACACCATAGGGTGCTCCTCCAGCGCCTAGGGTTAAGTAGACATCATCGACCAAGGCACTTTGCTCAGTTTGTAAATCGGACTAGGCATCATCATGTGCAAAATCTAGGCGACAACACATGTGTACAACAAATAAGAGGTGCACATCACATAGATCTGAGGGCAGAACAAGACGAAAGCAAATGTAAACATGTAGATCAACAAAAATATCGCCCAGATCTAAGTATCTAAGAACATGAACCCTAATATCAGTGGATGACAAACAAAATCCACAAACGATTCAACATAAATCACCGCACGAGAGAGGCGGGGAGATGGGGCAGGTGAGATATCTTGTCGAGCACCGGAGGACCAACACGAATCCGCCGGTGGAGGTTGATCGTATAGGTCAAGCGAGCTCGATGGGGAGGAAGAGGAGAGCGCACCAAACCGAGGAGGAAGGAGAGGCGCGAAATGGGGCGGTAACCCTAGCCCGCCCGAGGGCGACAAGATCTCCCGCAAAGATCTGGGCGGCGGCGGTGGCATGACGTTGAAGAGAGGAGGGGAGGCAGATCTGGGGCGGCGGGCGGCGAAGCTCCTTGGTGCGGCAGAGGCAGATCTGGGGCGGGCGCCGCCATCCCAGCCTTGCACGGGCAGCCACCGCCGCCTTCCGAGGGAAGGGAGGGGAGGAGTTGTAGTGGAGGAGGGGGTGGTGACCTCACCGGTGGAGGAGAGGAGGGGGTGGCCGCTGCGAGACCTAGGAGCGACGGGAGTGCGAGCGGGTGCGGGCGGCGCGTTTGGGATAAGGATGGGCGGCCACGTCTGGAGATAGGTTTAGGTTTTTTTTCGTGTATATAGTTTTTCTGTGCGTGTACGTAGTTTTTCTGTGAGTTTTGAAAAGACCGACAGAATAATGTCAATTTTTCTGTGTGTATTGACACGCACAGAAAAATAAAGCAATTTTTCTGTGGGTTTTCGAATATTTCTGTCGGGATTTTTGAAACGCATAGAAAAATTACGAATTTTTCTGTGTGTATAGAAAAACACACACAGAAAAATGTAACACCCACAGAAGTATTCAAATTTCCAGTAGTGAAATATATATAGAACATCAAGATTTATGACACCAAATTAGTGTTAATCAATCATATACACCATAAAATGTATTTTCATATTGTGCTTATTTCATAAATATTGGCGCTCT